GCGTTCTACAGGACCGTTAAAAACGGCTCTGGCTGGCATCAAATACGGCGTTCTGGGAGTATTTTACGATGTCTTGACACATCAAACAGTGTTTTTTTCACCATCTCTTAACTAGACGGGTTAGGAAAGTGGCGTATTTTGGCCATAATGGCTTGCCACAGTTTCTCACCAGTATCAGCTGATGGAGGGCTAGTTTCGTTGCGCCGTTCGTGTCAGCGGACACGGTAGCGTCAGGGAGGGGGGCGGGGCTTATAAAGCGCTGGGGGAAACCCTGAATCCATACTAAACCAGCAATTAGCTGAAAAACAACATTTGAAGAAAACTGGTGATTTTAAGCATTTTTAAATCACGGGTTTAATGGGCCATTCCCATGTGTACCGGGTCGGCCCGGGCCGGGTAGCGTAGGTTGTTTACATATCTGGGTGGCCTGGTATTTTTCCGGGCCAACCAAGGCTCATTCTCAGTCCTCTTCTCGAGGGGGTCTGCTTCAGGCCGACCAGGGCCAACACACCCACTGCTGACAGCAAATTCACACCTTCCATTAGAGCAAGCCTCTGATTGGTGGGTAGAATCAGCCCACATGGGCTTAAGGCAAGGATGTGTGGAATCAACCGGGCCAGGCTGGGGCCGACTGGGGCTACCCGGCCCGGGCCGACCCGGTACAGATGGGAATGGCCCATAAATGGACCCGCCAGCACCACAGGTGCAAACAGCTTTCTAACACAATACAAGGGTTAAGAATCAGACCATGTGATTTTCTGGATTTTATCTTCATTTTGTCTCTCATAGGTGAAGTAAACCTCTCTCATCTATTCAGGTGGGACAACATGAACAATGAAATACTTTTTGCCCCATGGTCTGTACAGATGTCATTCAGAAGGAGGACACACCTAGGTGGTTGCAGCTCCAGGTCCGTTCTTCTGGATTTCTGGCTCGCCCATTCCCTTCCCGTCTCCTATAAAACCCACGTTATAACTCTGTGAAGGTTTACTTTGTGCTTCTACGATTTATGGCTGTAATTCAGAAGCAGTAAAGACAAAAGATGACTTTGAAAAGGTTTTGCTCATAGAAACTTGTTTGGTGTGAGAAGAGGATGCGGGTAAGCGCTCCTGCCGGTCCATCTCCTCCAGATTCAGCCTCCAACACAGAACTGTAAAAGCAGGACAAACGTGGGAATTAACTGTCTTCATTAAAATAACCATGTTTTAGTCATTTATTCATGATCTTTTTATGTACTATTGTAACATTTGGTCATGAATCCTGAGCTAAAAACGTTAAACGGCACAAGTTTCAGCTGAAGTGATCAATAAGTCATAAAAGGAGCACTAAAGCGCTGCCAGCTTTCAGAAGCCCGTTGGAGGGTCTGTGGGAGCGGCTGGAGCTCCTCATTCTTCCACCACGGGCTTGTTGTCAGTGAAATATTTGAGGGGAACTTTCCCACAGAGACTTATGCAATCAGAAAGAACGTCTGTCTGGAGACCAGACCAGCAGCCTCAGCATGGTGATGTTGGCAGGGTCTCAGAGGGGCTGGGGAAGCTACCGGCTCACCTTCTGTGCAGCCAGACGAGTCAGATCAAACAGCATAAATGTCACCGTTTATTTTATTCATTCAAGGTCAAATGTTTATGTTCACCTTCTGTTGTATTTGATGAACTCTCCTTTCACCAAACCGGTGCTCGGCTGCAGCCTTTCTCGTGTCTGACATCATTCTGGCTCCCAAGCGACTCTTTCTGGTCGAACTGGTTGTTTCATTTACTTTGACTGTTTTCTGCCTTTTACATCTAGTCCCTTTCATCAGGAGTAATAATAATAATATTATTAACCCTTTGATGCAAGAATTATGAAATCTTCAGCCGTGACTTTTAAAAAAAAAATTATTTTGTCTTTAGGTGTGAATGAAACAAATTTCAACAAATATTTTTTGTTAAATTTTATAATTTACAAATAATTTATTACATGTCCACCTTGGTGGACAGCGTGCATTCTGAGCATGAATGTGTCGGCTTGACTTACTGAAGTCCAAATGGAGGGGCTCACATGCAATAAAGTCTTCAACAGCTGTGCTTAATAACAAAAACAAATAAATAACAATTTTGAGTACCTGTCCACTGTAGTGACCATTATAAGGGTTAATGATGTAACAACAATAATAATAATAATAATAATATAATATTTATAATAATAAAATAAGCATCATAATACTATATTTATAATAATTTAACAATAATTATAACATAATAATAATATTGTAAAAATATTATTTTAATAGAATAATTTATTATATTATATTATTATTACAGTGATAATGACATAACAATAATCCTATAGCATAATAATAATAATGTTATTATTATTGAAACAATAATATTATTATAATTACAATTATTATTACAGTTATACAATTATTATTACAATAATATAATAATAATAATAATAATAATAATACCACAATAATAATAATATTTTATTGAAAAATAATAATAATCATTATTGTTATTATATAATTATTTTTATTATAATAGCATGTCCCAACCCTGAATAGTGAAGGAAAATGGATGGATCATAGAAATAAAACTTCTGCCTTTTTTCATCATTTCACTGCGTAAACAAATTTAAGGAAAAGTCAGAAGCGTCACACTTGACTTATGATATTTATGTATAAATACGTTGGTATAGAAGTGTGTGAATGACGATAAAAGGCCACTTTACCCTGAACCATGAGGCTCAGACAGACTTTTACACAAGGCTGGTTTTTCCAGGACCCGGTGGCCTCAAACCTACGTTTTTTATTGTGAAGTTTATCGTCTCCTAAACATCGCTGGGAAAAGCACGAGTTGTCCGAAAGTCATGGTGTTCCCGGCCCAAAGCTCTTGGAGCGTTTTATTTACAGCGTTGGCGTGTGATGGAGAAAGCGTGCGTTCCAACCCAATAACAGGTTGTCAGTTTGACGCTGACACCACACGGGGAGAGAGCAACAGCCCGACTCCATCTCTCTGGAACATCGTTTACATCCTGGAAGGTCACAAGGCCATATCGGAACACACACACACACACACACACACACACACACACACACACACACACACACACACACTTACAGTACAGGCAAATAAACATAGTTGAGAAAAAACAACTGGTTTTGTGTTTTTTCCATTGAATTATCAGCATGTTGATTCTGAGAGCTTAGTTTTCTTATTGAAAGATAAACATTTACAATATGAAGTATTCCTCTACAAGACTCTGAGAGGGGACATCGGTCATCATCATCGTTGGCCTCAGCTCAGAGTTTTGTGTATTTCAGCCTGCCACAGTGAGGATGCATGGGACTTTTAAAGCCCCCCAGCTCAATAAATCAAACACAACTCAGCTCTATAGATAGATCAGTGTAAACGTACAGTCATTACAACACACACACACACACACACACACACACACACACACACACACACACACACACACACACACACACACACACAACAGGACAACTTCCTTTCACATGAGTTATCGTCCCTCCACAATAGCACCAATAATAGTTTCCCATCCCTGCATTGGTGCAGGCTGTGGCCCCTCCCTGACCTTTGGGTCCTGGTTACGGGGGCGCAGCACAACACTTCTGGTTTCATTCACATCAACGAGGCGCTTAGCAGACAGCTCTAGAGAGGGTTGAGACTGGACCGGACACCATCTGCCCAGCGGAGATGCTGCAGGACGCCTCATCATGTTTACAGAGACAGGGAAGGGTTTCTGTGTGAAGGGAAACACCACAAGGCCCCAGCTGACGGAGCAGAAGTGAGCTGCTGTCTGAAGCTGCTCCAGATTTGGGTCCAGCCTTTGGAAGCAAGTCTTCACGCTGCTCTACCTTAATGACTTTTAGCTCTAAAACGATCCCCACCCCCAGAATTCATCTACAACTAATAGATGAGCCAAAGCTTTACTGACACAGCGGCTGTCCGGATTATTTCTGTTATCTGACGGCACCATCTAGGCATTGCTTCATTTTCATGTTTAAAGACGTCATCACCCGTTGCTACTGTGGATATCTACATCATATTAGAGTTTTTTAGGTCATAAAAGTCATTTGTATTGGAAGAATAAATTAAAAGTGCTTTTTTGTAAAGAACGTTTTCTCACAAGAGCACACGCGATATTTCGACTGTGCCGGACGTGTCACTTGGAATCATAGGATGATGAAGGAAGATCCTGCTTTTCTCGCCTCTGATTGGTTGAAGGGCTCTGCTACGATTGGCTATTTCATTTAGCGGCAAACTGTCTTCCCATGCTAACTGTTCTCCTGCCACCGCCGCCAGCAGAGAGCTGACTTGGGGAGTTTGTAAAGAAAATGTGAACTTAGCGCTGGAAAAGTGGTTCTTAACCTTGTTGGAGGCACCGAACCCCACCAAAAATAAAATATGATTTTTTTTACTGGTGCACGAACTTAATTGTGCATTAATATCACCTTGTTCAAATAACAAAACCAACACAGTGCATGAACTCAAAACAACTTACCTCAGTGTGACTTCTGCTGTTGCCTTTGAGAGACCAGTTCAGACATGCGTGGCTTCACCTTGGAAAGTGCCAGTCTCGTGTCATTTTCACAGCAAAGTCTGTTCCTTTTCTTAGTTTTTATGTCCAGCATCCTCGAAAACGATTGCTCTCAAAGATATGTTGTAACAAATGGTACAACAAAATCCAGGGCTTTCTTAGCAACAACTGGATACTTTTCCATTTGTTGACACCAAAACGTTGAGAGCGTTGTTGTTCTGAAGAGTTGCTGTTGAACCTGGCTCTGCTGAAGTTCAATGATTTCGTCGAGGTATTCATCATTGGCATCGGCTGTCTCAATAGCAAACGTGAACGGCTGTCTCACCCATGCTGGATATGATGCTCTTGTAGGGAAGTATCCATCGAGAGACTTCGCAAGCTCATCTAAGTGCGTGGCAATTGTTTGCTTCAGTTCCATGGGTACAGACATGTCTCCAAGTCCACACACATCTTCGATCTTACTTACAGTCGTCCAGAAGGGGGAAGTTTGCGAAGTTGTTGTTCTCTGCTCGTCGTTTCCATAACGGTAACTTTTTTTGAAAAGCCTTCAGGTTTTCTTCTGCTTCCATTATGTTAACTCCACCACCCTGCATCTGCTGATTTAGATGATTGAGAGCTGCGAATATATCAGCCATGTATGCTAAAATGAGAATGAACTCAGAATCTTTGAAGCAATCTGCATGACAATGTTGGTGCTCTTGCAAAGACTGGGCTAATTCCACACGCATGGCAAAAACACGATTCGGCGCCTGTCCCCGGGATAACCACCGAACATTCGAATGGTAAAGAAGTACCTCAAATTCAGAGCCCATTTCTTTACACAGCTCACTGAAGATGCGGTGCCTCAGAGCACTATTGCGCACATAGTTCACACATTCCACTACAATTTTTAATACTTCTGCCATTTTGGGCGGCAAGGTTTTTGTTGCCAACGCATGCCTGTGCAGAATGCAATGCGTAACAATGATGTGCGGTGCGTCGGCTTTTACTAGCGCGCCAAAACCAGACTTTCTTCCCAGCATCACTGGAGCTCCGTCCGTACAAACTGCAGAAACCATATCCCATGAAAGGTTGTTGTCTCTGAAGAAGTCATCCACAAGCTTCTTCACATCGGCTGCCTTAGTTGTTGTTGTAAGAGGCTTATAAAATAAAAACTCTTCTTTTATCATGTCGTCTTTCACAGAGCGCACAAAAACGGCAAGCTGGCTTAGACTGGAAACGTCGGTGGTCTCGTCGAGTTGAAGGCTGAATTTTGCCGGGCTTGAAATCAGATCCGCGACTACTTGAGCCACGATGTCTTTACTCATGCACTCTAGTCTGTCGCTGATGGTGTCATTTGAAAGAGGAATTTGGGATAATTTACCTTCAGCCGCTGTTCCGAGTATCAGATTCGCCATCTTTAACGCAGCTGGTTTTACGAGTGTTTCGCCAATGGTGTGCGGTTTGACCTGCTTTGCGATCAGATAAGCAACTTCGTACGATGCTGTGAGGATCGGTTTGTTGATGGGTACAAATCCAAGAGCAGGCAGAGTGGCCTTTTCGTCCAATCTGGCTCTCTTCACCTTGAATTCAGCAAGCATTGTGTTCTTGTGTACCCATCTCCATGCAGCTTCAAGAAGTGTTCCTTCAGTTTTGCAGGTGCGAGACTAGAGTTGCTCAGCTTGGCATTGCAGATGGGACGCTGACTCCCGTCACGTTCCGTGATACGTGTAAATCCATGTTTTACATATTCGTCCAACCACTTTCTTTTTTTGCCCGACATAGTTAGCATGGATTAAAATATTCCGTAAGAAATCACACGACACACCGACAGTCACACGTTGTGGTGGTTGGAGGTGGACGTGGGGTCGGCGTCACTAACGCTAACCCAACATCACTGATGCACACCGCTGGTCCCGGTGTGTGGTTCTGACTGAGAAGGTCTCACTCTGCTGCTTATCCAGCGCTCCCAAAGCGGACCGGTAGGGAGTCTCACTCAGACACATATACAGCCCTCTCGGAGCGGTCTGATAGGGAGGTCGCACTCTGCTGCATAAACCAGCGACCTCAAAGCAGACCGGTAGGAAATCTCAGAGCAGGACGCTTTCAATGACTGTGCCCACTAACTGCAGACTAGACTGAGGGGTGGACCTCTGCGGCGGAGGCTCCACCGAACCCCTGAGACTGACTCACCGAACCCCTAGGGTTTGATCGAACCCAGGTTAAGAACCACTGCTCCTTGGACATACTACGACTCCAAATGACACGTCCCGCCATGGCTGAAAAATAGTTCCAAAGTGAAAGTTGAACCGACGTCTTTTCTGGCTGTGAACTCAACGCCTTTCTCAAATGTCTCATTTGGACGTTTAATCATTAAAATTTGGGCATCTTGTTACTGTATAAATATATCATTACTGTAACAAAAATCCAAATGCCACCTTATATGTCCCAGCCTGGATTCAAACCCCAGTCCTACATCATGTAAGTGGGTGTCTTACTAGTTGAGCGATCTCTTTGACACCTTTTGTCAGCTGAAAACGTTTCTATCACCATAAAAGGTATTAAAACCCAGCAAACATTTGGATGACAGCTGAAACGGCGTCAGGCTGATGAAACTTTGATATTTTAAAATATGACTGTCATGGTCTGCGTCTGTGTCTTCCCCATGTGTCTCCTTATGTCCTCCATCCCTCTTTAGATTCCCCTTTTGTGTCTCATAGCGCCCTCATGTGTCCTTTGTCTGCGTCCATTATGTGTCTTATGTTGGTAGTCCTTTAAGTCTATTCCTCCCAGGTCCTGCGTCATCTCATTCATCCCCAGCCCCTCCAGGTCTCATTTACATTCAGTGTCCTTGTAGTCCCCAGCTCGACATGTGTGTGTGTGTGTGTGTGTGTGTGTGTGTGTGTGTGTGTGTGTGTGTGTGTGTGTGTGTGTGCGCGTGTGTGTGTGTGCTTGTCCAGTCCCCATTCCTGTTTATATTAGTGCATTTGTGTGTGTGATGGTGTGTGTGTGTGTGTGTTAGTCCTTCCCGCAGCCTTTAGGTTTAGTTTTGTGTTTTAGAGTTTTTTAGGTTTATTTGGCCCTCCTCTGTTTCCGTATGCCCATGTCGATCATTAGGTTCACCTGACTTCCCTCCAGCTCTCACTTCACACACCTGCCGCCATTTTCCCTAACCACTTCTCCCTGTGTATATAAGCCCTGTCTTGTCTGTGTCTGGTGTCGGTTCATTGTTGTTTCTCAGCGTTATTTGTTCTGTCAGTCTGCTCGTTCCTCTTGTGTTTTTTGACTCCCTGGATTTTTGGACTTTGGCTCCCTGCCATTTGGATTTATTTTTGTTCTTCCTCCAAATAAAGGATTTTTACTTGTATCAGCTCCTGCCTTCGTGTCATCCTGGGTTACTGCATTTTTTGGGTCCAAACCATCCCTTCATCGTGACAACGACCAATAATTACTATATTTTTAAAGACGACTAGTTCCAAAACGAAAGTAGAAACGATGCCTTTTCTGGCCGTGAATTCCACGTCTTTCACAGCCTTGCCGTCAGACCAATGTTTGCTGGGTTGGTCTAATGTTGGTAAAACAAACACGTTTATGTATGGAGTTTGGCAGTCAACTGAGCAGCTCACATGTGAAAGTCACTTTGACGTTTTCCGTTCTCCCGATTTCGTTAATGTCTACACTTGACTGAATATGAAGGGAAGAGGAGCAGCGCGGCGTTGCTCTGCACTGTCCATATATGGTACTGTACATCCTGCCTTTGCGGCGACATCACAGAGCAAATTGCCGGTACTTTTTTTTTTCTTTTTTTGGCAACAGAGGTGCCTATTGGAGCCCGTGAGGGAGCTGGCTCCCTGGAGGGCTTAGGCCAACCAGCCATTGCTCCCCATCTCCACACATTTCTCTCCTCCTGCTCCCTCACATCATCACATAAACCTGCACATAGAACCTTGGGGGGTGGACCCCATTTCTGCATTCCTGTGGCAACCTGCCCCCCAATTTTATTTGCACCTTAAACACTTCCACCAACGACGTTCCACACAAACACACTTTGGGCCTTGGGAGTGAGCACATTCAACGGCATTTGGCAGGGAATCTTTCAGCGTCCTCCCTTCACATCTACGTTGTCTGTTTCTCATACCTGTTTTCTTACGCCAAATCCACACTCACGTGCCCTCCGGGTTTCACCGCCATGAAGCTTTCGTTTTCTGATTCTCATCATGACCTGCAGAGCAAAACATTTTGCTGTTGCTACGGTCGCTCTAGATCTGTAGGCTACTGAACGGGAAGACTGAGAGAAGAGCCGCTGGGAGAAAACACTGAACTGATGCTGGACACAAGCTGACAACTAAAGGAAGGTAAGACCCAAACAATGAGTAGCGAGGCTGGGGAACCGAGAGGACTGATACTAAAATAAAGAGACCTATCGACTAAACTCACAACAGCCACACAGGAATGAGACTGAGGAACACGGGGACACTGTTATCATGATTTTTAGATCTATAAATTATCATAACAAGCTTCATAAATAATCCCAGTTTTCAGATCATCATCATGTCAAACTGGGTTTAAAATGTTCTGGTCCAACACCGCCTCAGACGTGGGGGAGTGTGCCACTGATGTCATGTTTTCTAAACCCAGGACAAGAGTTTAAGAAGGCCCAGAACTTCCAGCTGCTGTTTGTTTATCACATGACCTCAGCCTTCAGGTTCACTGGATTTCCCCTCGAATTTCTACTGACAAAGGGGTTAACCTGAGGTTTAGGATTACAGGCAATCTGGATTAATTTTACGCTGAATGGTTAGTGGCACAACAAACAGCCTGACCTAAAACCACAAGTGGAAATGACCTGGTGTGGTCTACACTTCCGCGGGGTGGACAAAGGCTCCGGCGCTCCTGTTTCAAGAGTAGAGGTGAGCTGGAGCAGGGTTGAGCTTCAGATGACCAAACCGTTTTTCTGATGTGTGAACATCTCTCCTCTGATTGGCTAATGACAACGCCATTCCATTTTCTCTGCAACGTTGATGTTTTTTCTCCACCAATAACACAAACCTGGAGGAGTTCTGCTGTGTGGTGGAGTTGCTAATGCTAACAGTTAGCTTCTGCTAGCTAAGATGTTCTCTGCTGTTTCCTGAACGCTAAACCAACAACAGCCTTCCCCGTGGTGAGTCCAGATGGGTGAGTCCATGAATGTTAGTGACAGTGTGATGTAGATCTGTCAGGATTTTCTATCCTAGAGTTTCACCTAGAGTCTGTTTTCTATCAGAAGCTACTGCAGGAGATAGGTGTAGGAGACTATTTTCTTGTTTAGCCTGCATGAAACACTCAGTGTGACCCGTTAGAATCATAAACAATCATTAAAACGTGGTTTTTCGGTGACCCTGGTCTTTAAGGTCAGACTGGATGAAGGACTGTGCGCCACCTTTCAGCCCAGAAGTTTAAACTAAGATCAATCTGTGCTTATGTGAGCCCCAGCCTCACAGGACTTGTTTACTGTTCCTACAGATGGATCTGCCTCACTGGTTCCGCTCGCACTGTGCACACCACAAGTGAAACTTCATTTGGGAAAGAAACTAAACTGCTTCCTTGATTCCTGATACATCAGCACAAACACTGGGTACACTGTCAACAGCCCACCTGCTGGCTGAACTTCTGCTCGCCCCACAGGGAGGCTTGTGGTTTCAAATTCAATTCAAATTCAAAGATACTTTATTAATCCAAGAGTGAAATTAGAGTTTCAGTGCACACAATTCAGAGATCATACATACATGACAAGAATTGGTAACTGTGGTCATTCAAAACCAGAGTTGCGCTACCGTAACAGATCAAGAGGGTTTATATGAGGATAGAGTCAGGGGGAGGGGAAAAAAGGCCCTTCAGAGTTACCCTCAACAGAGAGGGCAGCTTTGCTCTGCAAAAACATCTCAAACAGAAATGCACACAGACTTCAGACATTACACAACATAAGTGTGCGCTAGGTGGGGAGGTGGGGTTGGGACTTTCCTCACTTCAGAGCGTGCAGCCGCATGGGGCAGTGCTCATCACCTCCATTTGGACAGGGGAGGGAGGTAATGGGTACATTGACTCCAAGGTACGGTTCCACGGCCTTCACTGGTCACAGTCCCGCCCAGGCTGGGACAGGGAGAAGAGTTACCATAGCGACGGCAGCATTATAAATTTCTTCTGAGGGGGGAGTTTACACTTCAGCCTCACAAACTCAAGGGCACCAGATTCAGATAAGAATTGTTTTGGGGACAGACAGAGATAATTTCCTCTCTGCCTTAGAGTTCTGTTGGTCTTCAACCCCTCTAGAACCAATAATGGCGTAATTAATCTATCCCAATCGATCCGTGCTGATCCGTCCACTCGCTCCTTGATGGAATCCACCTTCTGTGCCAGAGCCTGAATCTCAGCCAAAGTTCCAAGCTTACGACTCATCTCGACAATGATATGAGTTTGTGCGTTCACAGAACCATGTAATCCATCCCTGAGCTCTGGGATTGAGCCAATATTCCTCGAAAGCTCGTTAATTTTCCAGTAAGCCAGGTAACCGCTCAGGCCAAACAGCAGGAATCCCAACACCAACACCACGAATATCCAGACATCTTCAGAATCCTCTACAGACAGCTGAGAGAGGCAGATCAGGTTCCACTGTTTCCAGGAGTCCATGATATATCCAGCTGGCTCTGTCCCAGAGGGGCAACCGGGAGCCCCTTCTCCCGTTCTCATCGTTGAAAAAATCTTGTCAATGTGTTGAGAGACCAACTGACCAGGTCCATTTTTAATAATTTCCAGTTTCCAGAAAAAATGCAGAAAGGGCCGTGCACAGACAGGACAAAGAGCCTTGGGATAAGGAGGGAGAGGAGAAAAAAAGCGTCTGTACTCTCCACGAGCCGGAAGAGGGAAGAGGGTTTCCCACATCCTGTGACAGCTGAGCTCTTGGTGCCCGCTCTGCCCGGAGAGAGGGCCAACACTCTCCTGCTCATGCAGCGAGTTGACAGGAACCAATCCATTTAACAAAATGAAGTGGTGATGGAGAGTCTGGGTCAGGGGATGAAGGCAGCTGATTTCCTTTTAGGGATCCCTTCTGGGTTACAAATGAGGCAGAATCTCAGATTTATATTGTTTTGTTTTGTTTTCAGAGGTCAGGAGCATCTGTCTTTGGGAGGAGCCTGCTCAAGGACACGTTGGCAGCACAGATGCTTGCTTCCTCAGCAGCTGCAAGATGTGCCCCGTCCTCTTCAGGCTGCAGCACAAGCACAGACATGAATCTTAATGTTCTGACTTAAAGGTCCCTTGAATTCATCGTGCTTGCTGTTATAGCATGCAAGTTCAACTGCTCTTCATTTTTACAGCTGCTCTGGATAAAACTACTGTGCACCCTGACTCTCTCCAAGCAACAGCTCACAGGAGCCAACAACCCCACAGTAGCTGTGAAGGAGCAGACAGAACATCAACAAGATCCCATGAGCTCAGCAACACATTTGCTTTATATCTGAAAACAGCTGAAGGCCAAAAAAGCTGCCTCAGCAAGCTGGCCTCTGATCGTGCTGTTCAAGATTACTCTGTGTGTGTGTGTGTGTGTGTGTGTGTGTGTGTGTGTGTGTGTGTGTGTGTGTGTGTGTGTGTGTGTGTGTGTGTGTGTGTGTGTGTGTGTGTGTGTGTGTGTGTGTGTATGCGTGTGTGTGTGTGTGTGTGTGTGTGTGTGTGTGTGTGTGTGTGTGTGTGTGTGTGTGTGTGTGTGTGTGTGTGTGTGTGTGTGTGTGATCCCCAGTGAGTCGTGGAGGATGGCTGCTTATACTGAGCCAGGATTCTCTGGAGGTTTCTTCCTGTTAAAAGGGAGTTTTCCTCTCCACTGTCGCTGCATGCTTGCTTATAATGAGGATGCCTGTAAAGACTCTGACACTAGTCAGTGACTTGATGCAACCTGCTGGGTTCCTTATATAGGAAACCTTTAATGATTGGCTTAAAGAGCAAGTCACCCCCAAATAAACTTTTTTTGCTGATAAACTAAATAAACGAGTGTCTAATCGTGCTGCAGACATGTGTCGTCAATAATCTGGCACTTCAGTGCATCTTAGTTAAAATTTAAATATTCTGCCTAAAACTGGCAGTGTTGTGCCGTTGTCAGGTAAAAACTCTGCATTTTAATTTAAATCTGCCACCGCTATTGGCTAAGAGGTATGCTAGGATGTAAACTGGTACATTATGATGTCACAATGCTGTCGTGAGCCTGTGTGTGTGTGTATTTGTTAGCAGCTTCGCCTTCTCGGTCTGCCAGGCAACAGCATTTGTTGCATTTTTCAAGCATGAAGTGGGAGTGGAGTTAAGACTCTGGTAGGGGGTGACTTGCTCTTTAAGGACCTGACCTGTATTGGGATGTTTACTGTGTGAAGGTCCTTGAGACGACTCTTGTCATTATTTAGCGCTTTATAAATAAACTTGAATTGATTTTAATAGATGACAGGATTTGGAGTCTTATTTCCTGATATTTGAACATCTCTCCTCTGATTGGCTAACAGGAACACGACTCTACCACTGACTCTGTTTGCTCTGCAACATTAATGTTTTATCTCCACAAAGAACACAAACCTGGAGGAGTTCTGCTGGGTGGTAGAGTTGCTAATACTAACAGTTAGCTTCTACTAACTGAGAGTAAGACTGAGACATCGCCTCTCCTCCATTCATTTTCAATGAGACGTGCGCGACAAAGCGATAATCGCGGGTCTTCCTGCTACAATGCGAAACGCGAAAAACGTGCGTGTGAAATTTTGCGCTTGTGCACGTGTCGTGCACAGGCAACCCAGCGACGCGATCCCAGAAAGTTGAAATATTTTCAACTTTTCATCGCTGTCGCTCGGACGAGGACCGATCAACGGAGGTTTCATTCACTGACCAATGAGCGGACAGGAAGTTTAAAAGTTATAAAAAAGGCTGGTTCTGTTCTGGGGACGACTGTGGAACCGCTGGAGGAGATGATGCAGAGAAGGGTTCTCCAGAGAATCAAGAACATGATGGACAACCCTGAGCGTTCTCTTCACAAGACTGTCCGACAACGGAAGTGTCTTCAGTCAGAGGCTTCTTCAGTTTGGCTGCAACACTGACCGCTACTGGAGATCCTTCCTGCCAACAGCCATTGTAATACACAACAACTCTTTGATGACTTGATTATTATTATTATTCTGAGCTACTACAGCAATCACTTTCCCTCTGGGATTAATAAAGTATTTTTGAATTGAACTGAATTGTACATCTCCGAGCAAACATGGAGGAGAAGTTGATTATTGTTATGTTTTATAGTAAAATCAGAAGTAAGATTTCACATAACTCTAGCAGCACCTTGTGAAACATCATATCTACCGCTTTATTAACTCTGAACCGCTTAAATAACCTTAATTCCCTCCAACCTGACACAGCCAATCAAAACAACGGAAGTTTCGATTTCGCCATGGAACAGAACGCGTAGACGGGTTTGCCGCTGGCCGCTGCCGCGGGTCGCCTCCCGTGTGTCGAGCCCTTTACTCTGCTGTTTCCTGGACTAAACCAACAGCCTTCCCCATCGTGAGTCAATATGGGTGAGTCCAGGAATGTTAAGTGACATAGATCTGCCAGGCTTTTCCAATCCTAGAGTTTCCATTTTCTATCAGAAGCTACAGCAGGAGAGCTAGGCGTAGGAGACTATTTTATGTTCTGCCTGCATGAAAAAACTCAGAGTGACTCGTTTTAACCAGAAATGTTAATTTAAAAATGTTTTGTTGCACACTTGTAATAGGTCATGGGTACTCCTGAAGTCTATCCTCACACCATTTAACAAAATAATCTATTACAGGGCCATGTTGGGTTTCTTCGTCCAAACCCTGAGCTGACTCACTCAAACAAGTTCATCAGCACATTTAATAAGATGTCTATGGTTAAATGTACTTATGCAGTCATTTGCCTATGCATGACTCTAGTTTCTCTGATGAGACCATTGATGAGCATTAATGACGAGCACAGCCATATTCAAAACTCTGCAGGTTTTCAAGTTTTTATGAAAAGTCTCTGATGTCAGACTAAAACCTTTATTTTCTTTATTCAGCAAAGAACCGCCTGATGTCACACGGCCACCTAACAAAGAAACGAGTCCTCTCCAGAGGAAGTCAAAACCATGAAGGACAGAGGTGATGAGGACTACACAACATGTGTATACACAAGATCATTTCTCTTTATTGTGTCCACATTCATCAAACCTGCAATACAGAATCAATAACAAAACGCTTGAGTTAACAGGAGTGGAGCAGGACGCTTGGCTCAGAGGACACCGTTCAAGACTGAAGCAACCTGCCGCACCGATGCAGCGCTCACACCCACAGAACAACAGTAAAGAGGGGTTCGTACAGCACGTTTATTTTGTTCAGAAATACACTTTCTAGCTGATTAGTGTAGCGTCACACTTTATAGCATAACGACTGCATATTTAATTATGACCAATAAGATGTGATGATTCCATATAAATATGAAGAATCAACCTGATTGATCTTTGAATGTTTAACCAGAAGAGTTTAGTATTCTTCGCTTGTTCAGGGACCATAAACACACTTCGTATTAACTCAGGCAGAGTCCAGTATGTAGTTAACAGGAGTTTTATTCTTTTCTAAACTAATTATAATACATGACAAGCTATGAATAATGATAAGTGATGGCGTGTGTAGGCGGTGAGTTGTAGGTGGTGTGGTGTAAAGTAGGTGTGTGTCAGAACCTTTGTATATGTAAGAGATTGTGAGTTCTGGGCGTAAAATAATTTGTTGCCTGCTATAAACTAGACAGTTGATTATTAATAAAACAGCATCAGACGCCATCTGTCGTGTCTACAAACGCTGATCGGAGACCCCCGGTCACATCCCGAATGTCAGGTAGTCATGTGGACCTCAAGGCACCGAAGTCCGTAGAATAACCGCGGTGCGACTAGTCCGGTCTAGAGATGTCTCCAGGTCACAACAGGCAGGAAGGTTTGTTGCGTCTAAGACGAATGTGTTCTTAAGGAGCCGTACAGCTGTGTCAGCTGGCAGTGTGCCAACAGGTGTGACTGTGTGTCCAAGAGGGAGGTGTCTCAAGGACGCTGGGTCCGAATTAGCCACTTCAGATGTCCGCTCGAAACTGAATAACTCGGGAAGTCACTCTCTAGTTTTAATAATCTAGAGTTTATCATTTCTGCGAATCAGAATTTGACATGTTCGTAGGCTTTACCAAACACCCCTCAGAAACCACACCTTCCAGGTACAAGCTGTTCTAGTTCTGTGGATAAATAATCCATAAACCTTACGTGAGATGACCTTAACCTGAATTAGCATCTAATGAACATTGGGTATGAGTGTAGATAATGATTAACTTGTTAAATCAAACACTGATCATAAGATACAAATGGATCATCTTTTCTTTTTCTTCTTCCGGCACTCGCAGAGTACAGGCGCTTCTGCTTTTGCTCCCTTATCTTTTTTTCCCAAGGCTCTTTGTCCCGTCTGCCTACAGAGCGCTTCTCTTCGTTTCTTCAGGAAATCCCTATTTTTCAGAAATGGATTTAATTAATTGGTCATTCAACATGATTGATAAGATTTTTTCTACGATGAGAACGGAGGAAGGGCTCCCACTTGCCCGCAAGGGACACACGCAGCGGGATATGCGCTCGATTCCTGGAAGGTGTGGAGGATCGTTTGTCTCTCTCAGCTGTCCACTGAGGACGTCGAAGACGTGTGGATATTCAGCCTGATGATCACTGGATTTCCTCTGATTGGAGTGGGAGGATATCTGGTTTTCTGGAAATTTGGGAAGACGGGAGCGATTGGAGGGCGACCCGCACCCACAGGAAGCACCGCCCGGGCGGAGACCTCACAGACTGGGACGTTACTCGAGGTGACTCGTAAGCTGGACAATGTCCTAGCTGCGTTACCGGTGTTAGTGCGCAAAATGGATGTAATCTCAGAGAGGGTCACCGGACGGTGTGGAGATGTTGAAAACCTGAATTGGCTTCACTGAAGGACTGGAATGACCAGTTACAGACTGAAGCAGAGAGGAAAATGATCTCTGCCTGACCCAAACACAGTCTTGTTATTCAAATCTGACGCCATGCAGCCTTCAAGATGCCAACAACAACAACCCCCATGAAGGAAGGAATGCAAACAGATGCTGTGACAAACCCGACCTTCCCCCCCGCCTTCAGATTGTGGACTTCTGCCTAGCGAGGTCATCAACCTGCAGGGTCAATGTGCT